AAAGGCTGAGTGGGTCTTTGGTTTAATGTATTTCAAGTTTAAAGATTGACATGTTTTTTATGTTTGGAATTTTTATATGCAGGTGATGATGATAATTCCCCATCGCATCCAGCAGCATAAAGGGTTTGCTGAAGAGGAATCCAGCAGACAGTACATTCTCAGCTCAACTGCCGTGGGGCTGTGCCAACCTCCTTCCTGACAATGGTTGGGCATCACATGGAGAGATGGATCCATACCTTGTTTGGGTCTGCCTGGCCTGTTCCTCTTTACAGTCAGTGACTGCATATGTGACATGACAAATTTTGAATTCTTTTGTCAATTTTGAACTCTGTGCATACCTACTTCAGATGGTAATCTCTACCTTGTTTCCAGAGCCTTGTTTGTGCCTTTGTGCTGGCTCTGCAGCCTTCACATCAACTTAAAACAAGTAGGCAAGGTCAGGAGAAAGCCACTCTCTTGCTGGGGGCTATACATTCCCCCTGGAAGATCCTCCGTTCAGATGGAAGCACTTTGGACACAGCTGGCCAAACCGAGAGAGCCTACTTGCATCAGATGAGCTGGCAAACAGCAGTGCTGGGGCTGGGCATTGACAAGGCTGATCAAGAAACGGCACAAAAGACCTGACAAGAAGATTACAAAAGGCAATCTCATAGAAGCCATTTTCCACCAGACTTTTCTAGTAGGACAGCAGATTCTATATAGAGGCTTCTGGTGTACTTATAGGGGAACTGAAGGTAACAAGGGGAGAAAATCCTATTATCAGTAAATTTAAACTACAGGGGGTAGGCTTCAGGCGCTTGCTGCTTTCTGAATGATCTCACTTCTTCTGAGATGTCTGAATGAAGCGTGAGGTTTAGAACTCATTTTGCAAAATCTGTGTATTTTTGCTTTAGTTATATTATGCTCCTGTTGAGGCAAGCTGTGACTCACAAGTGACTTGCAAACTATAAGAGAAGAGCCAAAAAATACCCCAAATGTTGAAAAGAAAGAAATTAAGACAAATTCCTCCTGTGCAGGGTGCAACAGCTCCATAACCCATGGTCCCAGGGGAGAAAGTGGCTTTTTAACCTCTGTCAACCCTTCCAGAAAGGAGAGGTCTCCTGTATTCAAGGCCATCCTTTTGATGGACACTGCTCTATAAAACTCTTAGTGGTTTGGGTGCTCCTCACCTGAAATCAGTCCATGTTTGGGGGCTCCTCACCTGAAATCAGTCCATGTTTAAAAATGCTATGGTGGTGTTACAGCCATGCTTTGTGAAAATACAAACATCAAACTCGTGCACAGCAATGTGGCTGGAGAGAATGGACAGATGGTCAAACAGACAATGCCCACCCAATTTCTGTCTTTTTATTCACCAATCTGAAAAAAATTGATTATCTTCTTTATCTAAAATTATTCTGTTCACAAGCTGCCCTATGTTACAGGACACAATTTTCATACACATTTCCAAAGCTCCCCTGCCTCCTTTATTCCTAAACACTGTAAACATACCCGGGTATATTCATATGCAACGATAGCAACCTGAGATCTGTGCTTAAAAATAAACCAAATAGGAACTGCAGTGTGTGTGTGCACAACAGACATACTGATCTATAGCAGAGGCTGAAGAGATGACATGAGGGGAACACTGTCCATTATACTTGTTTGGTTTTAATCTAAATTGTTAACGCATGAGGTGCAGAGAGTTATGCAAAGTTTCATTTAGGCTCTTTTTTTTTTTTTTTTTAAATAAATGCAACAATAATTATCGCTGAAGCAACTAGACAGAGTCGCTGTGTTGCATTCTAGATTAAATGGCCTCCACTTTTCCAAGGGTAGGCACGCATCCAGCTATCCGTGTTTGGGGTGTATCCAATCAGACTCCAAAACCATCACCTACCTAGTTAGTGGTGCCCCTTCCCCTTTGCCATCCCTCTCTCAGAACCAAACTTTCTGTTCTGTTGAAACTGTGACTAAATTGGAATGGATTCACAGATGGATAGGAGCAGTATGCGTCCCCTGGGCCTTTGGAAAGCAGATGGCGTGACGGTATCTCCCTCAAGGCAATGGGTATCTACAGTAGCTATAGGGAAAATGTGTATATATGCATAAAGGAGGAGGCAAGAATAAGTAAAAATGCATAGTGGTAGATCTCTGTTTCCTATTATCTCTTAAATTAATTCTCTTGTGTAACAAAAGAAAGATTTCAGGTTTACTGATGCCTTTTGCTTTATATGCTAAAAACCTCAGGATTCTTAATATACATTTTTAGACAGTTCTTTATAGCTTCTCCATTTAGGCATCTGCATCAAATGAATTAAGACAATGTAATGGTTTCTTTGATGCAGTGTTGCACAATCCTAAGCACCAAGCTTTACAGCAAAAGGAAAACAGCTGCATCATTCACACACAGAGTCTACATTTGCTTTCAGGACGTAGGTAAAGCAGCGATTGCGGGAGATGGCATATGGCAAACTAGGTAGAATAAACGCACACAGTTGTTTTGCTTACAAACCCAAACATCAAGTGATTTCTGGTCATATACCAAAGGAGATAGGAGCAGAATGGGCAGCAATGGTAGTTTTTGTGGATTTTAAAACAGTATGAGTCCAGTATTTTAAAAATGGCATTTAATCTGCTGGAAGGTTGTCTACATGGCAATAGGCACTAGGACATTTTCCCATCCGTGAGCTCAGTAGCAAAAACAAGCTCCTGGTGCACACGAACATTTGAGGAGATGAACGCTCAGAGTCCACGGTTCAGAGGAAGGGTCCCAGTCCCACAAGTGCTACCATGGTAAACTATTAATTATGTATTAATATGGCATTGATGGTATTGCACGCATCTTGAAATGCAGCAGTTCCCCAAAAGAAGTGTTACCTAAAGACAGATGTCTCCTTCGCACCTAGAAATGAACGTACAACCCAGGGGGCTGCTTTTCTGACTAAATTTCATTCCTGACCCCTCAAGAGGTCTCCTGCTCTAGGCTGTACACCTCCCACTGCAGAACAGCCAAGGAGTATTTCTGGTCCCACCAAAGGCACTTACTGGTCCATATATTTTTCAATAGCAACAAATTCCCTTACAGCAACTTTTATCAGGCTATCTCCAAATAAAAAAACAGAAACCATCTACAAGGCAACTGCCATAGAAAAATTGGATTGCAACAGAGAAGCCCATGATAAAAAGATATGAGGAGTTTTCACTACGTTATACAACACAGGAGTAAGCAAATCACACTTTATTGGCACATCAGTGTTCAGTCAACCTTTACAAATAGCTGCATTTAATAATTTGCTTTGTTTATATAAATGTTAACATAAGATAGATAAATATATTGTCTGAATTAGAGGGTTAAAACCACTCCAGTTTAAAGTATTTGGTGAGTCACCAGTGCAGCAATACATGCCATCATTAAACGCCCTGAAGTCAGACCAAAAGCCAGATTAAAAATTTACCAACAGAAAGATCACCTGGGAATTTCAAATTATGTTAGTTAATATTTGTTATTTCAGTGACTAAATAAAAAAATGACCCCAATGGTTTTATGCCATTTTAACCTACTAGTGTCTACCTCAGATAGCATTTACATTTACATTTAACTTCCTTTTAATGCTGAACTGCCTAAGGAATTATTTTAGCAGATAGTTAAGTGCTTAAAAATACAACAGTGACTTCTAGTGGGGCTAAATCCTTCTCAAAATAATTCAGATATACCTTAATTTCCACTGTGCAATAAGGCAACAGAAGTCAGGTCCACAGTGAAACTGTTTCCAAGGCAATATAAGCTGATGTAAAACTGCTGTGTATTCACAACCAACAAAACTTCATTTGGCAGCGAGGAAAAAAATGAGGCTTATTCTTTCTCTATTACTTCTCACCAACACTGCAATTTTCAGTTCAGTGTTGAAGTTTGGGGTGCAAAAGTACCATATTAATGCAAGACAGAGGCAGGCAGTATTGGAAACCTCCCAAGTTTAGCTGTGTTAGCAGCACACACAACTCAATTTTATATATGCAGAAGTACTGGTGGTCTAAACACAAATACTTCAAGGGGCTTTGTCATGGTTTATAAAGCCACAGGGACAGTTTTTGTTAAACACCTGGTGGGCCACTGCAGCCCCTCCCTTGCTGCCAGCAAAGCTGGAGTCCAGGGAAACCTTAAGCAGCTACTTACAGGAGCCATTGCTGTTGCCCCTCCCTGCTACCAGACAAACCCACCACACAAAACCACAACAGGCTTTTAGAGGAAGCTGCCCATGCTGGTAACCACACACCACATTATCTCTAGATGAAGACACAGACTTGTGCATTACACAGGAAGACCAAGTGTTCCAGTACAACCCTAATAAAGGTGGGAATAAACTAGTACAGAGAAGAGCATACCCAGGAATGTGTTTCCCCGGTATGGAAAAAACAGGCTTTGAGCACCAATTCACATAACTCACTAATCAGTGGTGGCTCCTCCTTTACAAAGATCTTAGCTGGATTCAGATGACCTTGAACTGAAGCTTCTGTTTCTCCTACCATTTCCTCAAGCCAGTCTCCTTTGTCATGCAGAAAACCTGGAAACAGAAACTCTGTCCCTCTCATGAGTGTATCTATGCTTAACGAAGAATACTGAAAACTATGGGCTGGGAAATGTAAACAAATGATACATAACTTTCTCTCCCAGGTGCCAGTCTTTGATTACTCCACTCCAAATGTTGCTGTTATTGCTTGTCAAAAAGTACCAAAAAAGTTTGTTTGTCAAGGTCTGGAATAGTTTAAAAATGCCTAATTATTTGTTTGTTTAATTTATTGTTGACTATGGCCTGCAATGGCCAAGTCTTCTCTCTTCTTGTGGAGAGGCAACAGATTCAATGTAAGTTTTGCAGGAAGCACAGCACGTTGGTCAATGAGGACAATTTCACTGAAGGCCTAGAAGATACCACCTCCCTACATGCCTACTAACACCAGAGCTTAGCACGCTTTATGGCCAAAAGCAGCTTGAACCTATAGCAGTAAGCACCTAAAGCCATTCAGGTGGAGCTATATATTTTTACTGAATGATCACCACTGTCTAAAACGACGAGGGAATTGTTTGGCATGTAAGTCAGTCCTAGAGGATAAGAAAGCCCGTGGCTAATTAGAGGGTTAAAGATGGGAAACTCCTCAGGTTTCCCTAAGCATATTATGGCCTGGCTACATACATCTGTTACTATAACACGACCCTCTTTGTCAAAGGCCACAGCCGTAGTATATATTCTGGAAGGGAAAATCAGGTTCAGACCGAAGCTGTCCATCTGGCCAACGAGATCCATCTCTGCACTGAATATCTTCACTCGCGTGCTGCTGTTGTTCAGTCCTCGAGCTTTCAGATGCTCTATCACCGCGATAGCACCTGAGGTCTGGGAGACCGCAACCCCTCTTGGGCTGATGAGCTGGGACTGGATCATCTGACACTTCTTTAATTTCCCCTTCTTGAAGTCAGCCATCAAGCGGTAGAGAGCGCCTGCCTCTGAGTCCGTCAGGATTACTTCACTCTCAGGGGCAGCATCCAAGCCCCAAGGCAAACAGAAACCTTCCCGGACAGCCAGGACCCCCCTTCCCTCAAAATCAAAGGCCTTCACGGCACGGTCCCCCCCATCAGTGACCACCACGTGCCCATCCGACGTGACCGTCACATCCAGCGGGTACTTGATATCGTTGCCTGCATCCCCCCGCTCCCCAAACCGCTGCAGGCAGGATCCGCTGGGCCCAAAGACATGGATCCTCTTCTTGCCATCGTGTGCCACAGCCAAGCGCCCCGACCTCCGGCAG